GAGTGAATGATTGTTTGTCTCGTTTGTCTCTATGTGGCCCTGTGATGGACTTGCGACCCATCCAGGGTGTACCCCGCCCCTCGCACAGTGATTGCTGGACATGGGCACCAGCGACCCCCGTGACCCAAAACGGAATAAGTGGGTAAAGAAAATGGATGGGTGGATGGATGGATGGTTTCTTTGGAGACTTCACTGCTCCTCCCACCCTCTCGGTGAAAATCTGGAACAGTTGACTTCTGGGCAATGTAGTTCTTTTGACTTGTTAAAGTGAAAGCTTACTGAAAGAAAACTACAAAAAAGCTGCGCTTTTTTTGTTTGTTTCATTTTCATTTTTGGTTAATGGTCGGTTCCCGCTCCTGTCTGCTTTCGTTAGCTTTCAGTCCGGTCACGTCACGGTCACGTGAGTTATAATGAGGTTGACTCCGGTCCCGCCGGAATCCGGCCGGAATCACGTGACCCGCGGTACTCCCGAAAAAATGTCATTCTCTAGTGTGCGGCTGACGATCCAATTATATGGCAACATGGGTTGCCATACTATCCAATTATATTGCAACATGGCCTGCCATATAATCACCAGATGCACGCAACCATTTGACCAAACGCTGACTGGCCTTGAAGAGGTAAAAGTTCAGTTAAGCTTCAGATGGGACTACTGGTACTGCCAGGCAGCGATCCATCGCTGTATTCAGCAGATGGGCGCGGCCGACAACCCAAAAGGCTGAGATCCCAAAGCAGACATGCCAGAGCAGGGTCCGTGTCTGACGAATGCAGAATACAGGCAGAAGCAGGGATTTAATGCGCTTTGATGGCCATGAAAGGACAAACATCCCCTCAGCTCTGCTCTTCTGCTCGTTTTATTCAGCCACGCGCATCCGTCGACTGCTAATAACTATATAATCAGTCAAAGCTAAATTAAAAACGTCAGTTTTTTTGCGGGGTTCAGACCTGTAATTACTGTTAATTTGTCAGGTCGGGTGGAGTTTGGAAATGATGGCTACAGGCTGGGGCCGGGTTGGGTTGGATTTTTTTGGGCCCAAATGCAACTCTATATATTGCTTCGTGTGTTGTCTGTTGTTCTGTCTGTACAGCACTTTGGTTGGCCTTGTAGCTGTTTTAAGTGCTCTATAAATAAAATGGTATGGTATGGAATGGTAACTGTAATTCTCAGTTGTTTAGTTGTACAATGAGAATACTTTTTTTAAATGAAAGTGAATTGGACTGTCTTTTCGACATTTTGATCACTGTTATTTTGACAAGTTGGCGCCATTGTTTTGGTGATGCATGTCACGTGATTACCCATCAAACATTTCTCTCGTAATTTTAATAAATAATCAAAATTTTATTAATGACCCTCTTAAACTGTAAAACTGATCTGCAAATTAGTTTTGCTGGTTAATTATATTTTTGTGTTTTTATTTAAATTCCCCATGACTTTGGACTTTTAGGGTGGAGTTTTTTTTAAGGGTAGAAGCGGAAATGCTTACTTGAAGGGGCAGCTCATATGTGATATTAAGAAGCTCGTAAGCGGCTGTTGTGTTTAAAATTAGTGTTTATGTAATTATTTTAAGATTACATATTCAACATAAGTTTTACTCATTCAAGGCAGTCAAATTTGTTCATAACTTTATTATTAGTAAACCTGGGGGTTACCGGATACAAGCAAACAGTTACCGGAATGCACCCTGTCAAAATAAGAGAGCTCCTGGATCCTGTTCTGGCAGGATCCAGCTCAAAAAAGCCCAGATGTTAAAGTTTAGAAAACCTGTGACATGTTAGCACGAACTGCTGTGAAATATTTTAGACTGAAGTTGTTTTAGGCAGCAGTCTATTTTAGGCCTGCTAAAGCTAGCTGTTAGCTAGTTGATCCAATAAGGATTAGGGTTTAGTTAGACAATATTAACCTTTCCAATATACCCTCTTGCCCTTAAATATTTAAACTAACCCCACCATGTGCTCCCTAAACAGGTCTCTCTTGAAAATGAGTTCTCGTGGCTCAATGAGACTAACCTGGATAAATAAAGGCTAAATTAAAAAAATTAAAAACTGCTTTAGGCAAACAAAACGTTTTTAATTACATTCTGTTGAAGGTTTCAGCCTATCCCCCCTCCCCCGCTTTAATATACTGTACTTTGGTTCTCATATACAGTAGTTTATGTTCCCACAACCCTTTGTGTGAGGACTGCCTTCATGCAAGAAACAGCACAAAAATACAAAGATGAGTAACAAGCAGAAGAATAGCCGAAGGGACAATCTTGGTGCACGAACGTAACAAAGTCTAGCAGCTGTTTTAAAAGTTAGATGACCACAAGCTCTGGAAACAGGACAGAGCTTTCAGATGGATTAGCTGCTCTGTATGAGGCGAGCTGCCAAAGCAAGTCAAGAACTCATTTAGTCTGAATGCTGAGACATTTTCAGTGACACTGGTGCTTCATCGGCTGCGGTAGCTCTGTAGTATGCGCTGTAGTCTTGTGATCCTGGGGCTGCAGGTTTTAGACCAGGTTACGTCAGGAAGGGCATCCGGTGTAAAACAAATGCCAAATCTTTCATGTGAGTTTGCTTGTTGAGGGGGGAAAAATTGAAAGAACAACATTCTGGTTTTTCAATGCAAATTAGGTTTTTTGTTTTTCTATGAAGTCCTTCAGCCAACCTAGTTCTTTTCTTCATGAAAAGCGATGCCGCTCAGAACTGGTTTGATATGTCTCTCTTATCAAAGCCTACTATCCCCAATCAACAATAACTGTCTTCTTTAGGGGTGTCCAGTCCTGGTCCTGCATGTTGTACTTGTTTCCCTGCTTCAATACCCCAGATTCGGTGATGGATTTACCTCTTCATGTTCTGTAGGAGACAATCACCCATTAGTTCAAACCAGGTGTGCTGGAACAAAGAAACCTCTAAAGCATGCAAGATAGTGGCCCTCAAGAACCAGGATTGGACATGCCTGGTCTACTTAATGGATGACCTGGATGACCCTTAATGTTCTGCTTTTGAATACAATCAAGACCGAGGTTTTAGTTTTTGGACCTGAGCATCTTAGGAATTAATTTTTCAGTTTTTCTCCCTCCTTAGATGGCATTAATCTGTCCTCCAGCTCTAATGTTACAAATCTTGGTGTTATTTTTGTTCAGGACATGTCTTTTATCCCCCACATTAAAAACATTACTAGAACCACCTCCACCTGCGTATTATCACTAAAATTAGAAACATCTTGTCTAAAAATGATGCAGAAAAACTGGTCCATGCATTTGTCACGTCTAGACTGGACTATTGCAATGGTTTATTATCTGTGTGTCCAAATTCTTCTTTAAAAAGTCTTCAGTTGATCCAAAATGCTGCTGCCAGAGTCTTAACTGGAGTTAGTAGGAGAGATCATATTTCTCCAGTTTTAGCTTCTCTCCACTGGCTCCCTGTCAAATCCAAAAATGAATTCAAAATCTTACTTCTAACCTACAAAGCTCTCAACAACCTAGCTCCATCTTGTATTCAAGATCTTATTGTTCCATATTTTCCTAACAGAACACTTGGCTCTAAGACTGCAGGTTTACTTGTGGTTCCTAGAGTTTCCAAAAGCAGAATGGGAGGAAGATCTTTCAGTTATCAGGCTCCTCTCTTGTGGAACCAACTTCCAGTTTCTGTCCATGAGGCTGACACATTGTCCAGTTTTAAAACTGGGCTTAAGACTTTCCTTTTTGATAAATCCTATAGTTAGGGTTGGCTTGTTATGTTACTATAGGCTTAGACTACTGGAGGACAAATTGACCTAATTTCTTAAAATGAATTGTTAAATTTAATAGTTTTCATTTGATACTATTTCTAGCTTAAAATATGATTCTTGACCTGCCATTGTGTATCTGTTCCTCTCAAACTCAGCTGGTCGAAGCAGATGGCCGCTTGTCCTGAGCCTGGTTCTGCTAAAGGTTTCTTTCTGGCGAGGGAGTTTTTCCTTTCCACTGTCGCCTTCATGCTTGTTCAAGATGAGAGTTCTGCAATGGAGTTAAACTCAAAGCAGTCTGCTCCTCAGATAAATAATGTTAAATTATTATTTTCAAATATGAATGTTTCTGTTCAGTGCCCTGAGACGACTTCTGTTGTGACTTGGTGCTATATAAATAAACTGAATTGAATTATTGTACTATTTTCAGAAATAAACTATTTGTGATTTTGTTCCATCAGTACACACAGTAAGTAGATATTTATGCACAGATCTTGACATATCTAGAACACACATACCTGGTAGTCAAACGTTCATGTTTTATCTCTTTTTTTATTGGCTCATCCACTATTCACCAGTAGTAGTTTCAGCAGTCCAGTAGTATCTGGAGTCACCCTGACTACTGCGGGCCTTTTATTCATCACTAAGACAGATTAGTAAGTTTTGCATTTTACGATTACTCATGGAGCACATTCTTGGATATCAAATTTTAATGTAAATTACTCAAAACAGTGTGTATTAAAACAAATATAATTAAAAAAAATTAAGTTATTACACCATTTTAACTCTACCTTAGCCAATAAATTAGAGTCTTCTTGCCTGAACATTTGATGCAGTCATGTTTAAAACTTGTCTCTTGTCTCAAACGTTAATCCATAACCTCTTCAAATAATGTATTGGTATGAAAATGCCTAACCTTCACAGGTCTGTAGGTTTACAACAGTTGACTTCAGGCTGCAGTGACGTGCACTTTCACGCCCCTGTGCTCTCAAGGCTAGTTACAGGTGCACGTAGTCTAGCTTTGCATATCAGCTGTGTAACATTTAAATCATAACTGCAAGTGCTCGTTTTTGCACAAGGCTAGGTACGAGACTGAGAGGAGACACCGTTAAGATGAGGATGTTAACTCCATTACTTCTTGCGCTTATGATAAATTACCGCTCACTGGCAACGGTGGTTCAAGATTTCAATCACATAGAACGGTGTAAGGACTCCCTGTACATGGGGACTCCACCACGGGGGTTTGTAGACACCAAACTGAGGAAGATCTGCCAACGCTACGCAGACAAACCCCGGTACGTGACCCTGTATGATCCTCTCAAGCGGATTCCTGTTTACTCGGCTTACACCTTCAAAAAAACTGAAGGGGACAGCCGTGTGGACTACCCTTGGATGTACGAACCACAGGTAAGAGACATTCAGGAATACCAGCAGTGTTAATATGGAATTATGGAGCACTGTTTGCCCAATTGTATTAGTATATCATAAAGTAGTTTAGATGCTTTAGAAGTTGAAGTAAGTTTTCAGATTGACTTGAAACCAAGGCTAGAGTCTAAGACCCTAAAGACCATCCCAAAGGTTACCACTAATTGTTTTTCACGTCTCTCCAGTTGGCAGAAATTGATGGAAATGGGAACATGCTACCTTTCCCCACTGGTTACCTCCACATGAAGTTTGAGGACAGCCAGGCGGTGCTGGATGACTACTCTGATGTTGTGCTTTACGAAAGAGGTCACCTGAACCCTGACCAGCACCAGTCTACGCCACACGACCGCGCCGCCACCTACACCCTGACCAACGTGGTTCCGGAGATACGAGAGTTCAACATCGGGCCTTGGCGCGAGTACGAGGAGCGGATCCGGGTGCGCCTCAATAACTTCTGCCGCGGCACCGCCTTCATCGTTACGGGAGTCACCACCAGGGGCAACATGATCCGCCGCAACAACCAGGACCGTGTGGCAATCCCGGAAGATGTGTGGTCCGCGTACTGCTGCACGGATTACGATCGCAATTCGCCTCATCCCGTGCGCGTCCTCTTCCCGTCCTATGCAGCCTTGGCCAAGAACGCCAAAGAGAGCAACAGTGTTCATGAGATGACGGTGCAAGAGCTTGAGATGTTCCTGAAAAACCACATGGATGTTGACCAGAACCTCCAGATCTTCTATGACAACTGCATCTCTCCGTCACCCCTTCCTCTTTATCTGCAACACACCATCTGACGGCTGTTACGTCTCACCACCTGTCTGTCTTCGATTTACTTCTTTAAATGATGGAAGCTATTTGTCCTATTTAGCTTGGCTTAATAAATTTAAACCTTCCCATTTTTAAGGTCTCTTCTTGCAAGAATGCTTTAAAGTAAGACACAAAACATTTGATTAAATTGAAGTTTTAGGCTTGCTGTTTGTTTTTCAATTTATTTGACATTTTAAATGGCGGCTACTTTACTGAGACAGAAAATTATGGTGATGTGTTGGAGGCCATGCAAATTATTGAATTTAATAAATTATTAAAATTTACATGCCTTTGTTGTATTTGTCCAAACATTTTCACAAAAGAAATACACATTTATTGTAAACACAATTGCTCTACTTTTCGTGGTGTATTATTTTTGCAGAAGCATTACTGATCCCAGGAATGAGCTGATTTTTCATAAATCCTTTCATAGATTTCATTAAATCCATTAAAAGCACGCTCCCACTGATTATATTCTTCAGCAGAAGTGTTTGATTGTTTGAGCAGCTTTAAAAATTGAAGCTGTAGCATCCTTAATAATTTAGAGAAATTGCACTTCCACCAAAAATGCAGTGTGAATGCTTATAGCAGAAGAACTTGCAGATAAATAGCTGAAATTAGCTAAAACATTAATTCAACCTTTATTTGGACAGGTTAATCCCACTGAGCCTCGTGGACTCATTTACAAGAGAGACCTGAAAAACAAACACGCTGAAATGGAAGAACAAGCCTAAATTAACATAAGAAAGCAGAAAGAATATGTGTTTGCACAAATGGGCTTAAAGAAGCAGAAATGAGCACAAAGAAGTGGAGATTATTTGAAAAAAGTTTAAATTAGCAAACAACAACAAAAAACAGCTGAAATAGCTGAAATAGCAGAAAAAATGAAACTAGCATAACAGATATGAAAGGAGGATGACAAGCTGAAATTAGCAGAAAGAAGTTCGTTAGACTGAAAGAAGCAGGAATTACCACAAAAAATATTGAATTTATCTGGAAACAGCTGAAATTAGCTAAAAATGCTAAAAAGCTAGCTGAAAAGGTAGAACAAGCTTAAATTAGTAGAATAAAGCAGAAAGAACACATGTGTGCCCAATTAGGTTGAAAGAAGAAGAAATGAGCACAAAAAGTGGAAATTATCTGAAATAAGCCAACCCCCCCCCCCCCAACCCCCCCCCCCCCCAAAAAAAAAATAATAATAATAAAAAAATAACAGCTGAAAAGTAGCTAAAAAAACAGAAAGAAGCTTGAATTACAAGAAGGAAGCGGAGAGCACATATTTGCTGAATTAGGCTGAAAAAGGTTGAAATGAGCACAAACAATGTGGAATTAGCTGAAAAAGCAAAACCTATAGAAACAGCTAAATAGTAGCTGAAATAGCAGAAAAATCTTAAATGCATAAATAAGCTGAAAGGAGCAGAAAGAAGTTGACAGAAGCAGGAAAATGTTCTAGTTAGCAGAAATAGCACAAAACAGCTGAACAAACAGCTGAAAGTAGCTGAAAACAATGATTACATTAGCATGAGGAAGCTGAAAGAAGCTGAACCAGAACAAAATGTGAAAGGAGCAATACAATGTTGTAAACAGAGCTAAAGATTTGAAAGATGTAAAATAAACTTAATTCATTTTTTATGAGGAAAAAAATGTCAGAAAAGGTTAAATATTTCAAAAAGCTAAAGCTGCACCAATACCAAAAGTCAGAGCAGCCTTCTCCTGAAGGAGCTGAACATTTTGATTTGTGATTTGTTGAAATAACACAAAAATTGTGGAACGAGAAATATTCTGAAAAACGTATGGAAGAAAAAATGGATCACAGTAGTTTGAATGCTTCATAAGTGTTCACAAGATGCAAGAACTGAAAGTCTTTTGAACATTTTTAGTAAATATTTAGTAGACAACTAGAGCTAAACAAACCTAACATCAGCATCTGCACAGACATTCAGTGAAAAATAAATACTGTGACGGTAAAATCTTCATGATTCCGTTCTTGAGAGCTCTGAGATGTTCAAGTTAAAGACTCCTTTATGCTGGAAGCAGTAATTTTCCACAGCCTGGTGTTTGTGTGCATTTTATTTCCACACTGCCATCTAGTGATGGCAGAGAGACAGCAGCTCATCTCCTGGAGGAGGATGCTGGGAGAAGATGCTGATGATGAACCTGACATCCAGGTTCACTACAAACTATGCACATTTTGTGTTTCCAGAACTAATCTGAGAATCTGTATCTTTGTCACTCATTTAGTTTGTTCATAAGAGTGTCAAAATGTAAAACATGCTCATAATTTTACAAAGTACTAAGGTAGACAAAAATTGTCACGGAATTTTTTGGTTTGTTTGTCAAAGTCTCTATTGGTTTACATTTGTCTTGTAGTTTATGCAACCATAGACATAGAGTGTATTTAATATTTTTTGCCCCCCCCCCAATATAACACTATAAAAAATATTTAGATGTTAATGGTGGTAAATTTATGGTAACAATATCTTTTTCAATCTGGGTTTTTTGTATTTGTGTGTGTTTAAATATGAAAGGAGAATTTCAGCCACAGTTGAATTAGACAACAAAAAATTATTTTATCTTATCTGATATTACATGTATTACATTTACAAATTTGCTAATAGGTTCTTTCTTCTAAAAGATGAGTAAAGAGCATTGTTTTAGTTAAAATAAAGTAAAAAAAAAACCATTTCTCCTATATATCTAAAAAAGTTCAATCTGGTCCTCTGGACATAAAAAAAAACCAAAACAAAGTAAATCAACAAAAAAATGTAGAAACGTTTCGCCTCTCATCCGAGAGACTTCCTCAGTCTGAGGAGCTGTATTCAGCTCACTCTCTTAAATAGCACCTTCTCAGGGTGGATCAACCAGTTTTGCTGCTGACAACCAAAACCAGCTGATCACATGCTCAAGAAGGACCATCAGCCTAACAATGGATCATTAGCACACTGATGGCTGTTTACTATTCACAGAGGGCTGAGTGATACTAGCAATCACAGCATTGTAAGAGGGGGACAGTTGAACCCAGAGGCCTCCACCCCTGTTTAATGATGGACGATTTCTTTTCACAAAGATGGCCTCCTTTACTCCTCTCTCAAACCATCGTTCCTCTCTGTCCAGGATGTGAACATCTTCATCCCTGAAAGAGTGACCGCTGGCCTGGAGATGAGTGTAGACCGCAGAGTCCTGGCCTGATGATGTTGATCTTCTGTGCTGGGCCATCCTTTTGGCCAGTGGCTGTTTTGTTTCCCCGATGTAAGACTGATCACAGCCCTCCTGACACTGAACAGCATACACAACATTACTCTGTTTGTGCCGGGGGACTGGATCTTTGGGATGAACCAATCTTTGCCGTAATGTATTTTGGGGTTTAAAAGCCACTGGGACGTTATGTTTAGAAAATAAACGTCTCAGTTTCTCTGATACTCCCTCAACATATGGAATGACCACTGGTCTGGGTCTGGGTTCCTCCTTTTCACCTGTTGGCTGACTGGAGTCCTGTTTGGGTTTCTTCTCTGCTTTCAGGAAGGCCCAGTTAGGATATCCACATTGCTCTAGAGCCTGTCTTGTGTGGGATTTCTCCTTCTGCCTGGCTCCTGAGCTAGTGGGGACGCTGTCTGCTCTGTGATACAGAGTCCTGATGACTCCTAACTTGTGCTCCAAAGGGTGATGGGAGTCAAACTGCAAATACTGGTCTGTGTGGGTGGGTTTGCGGTACACCTCGGTTTGCAAATGTCCTCTATCAGAGACTGAGACCTCACAGTCCAAGAAAGCCAACTTGCCATTTTTTACATCTTCTCGTGTGAACTTGATGTATTTATCCACAGAGTTGATGTGGTCAGTAAAATGTTGGACTTCCTGAGATTTGATTTTAACCCAGGTGTCGTCAACATACCTGAACCAATGACTTGGTGGTGTCCCTGAAAAGGACGTCAAGGCTCTCTTTTCTACCTCCTCCATGTACAGGTTGGCAACAATAGGAGAAACTGGAGACCCCATAGCACACCCATGTTTCTGCCTATAATATTGCTCCCCATATGTGAAGTAGGTTGACTGCAGGCACAGTTTCAAGAGTTGACACAGTTGTTCTGTGGAAAG